ATGAATCAGGATGTTTCAAAGATTACCTTTCGGAACCACCTGCAGACTGGTATAGTCTATGGAGAGAGAGAGAGAGAGAGAGAGAGAAATTATTATGAGGAGTATAATTTTTTTATGAGAGAGAGAATGCCAAAATGGAGACGGAAAATTATTTTGCCAGGTTTCTGTGTATTGAACGCGTGTTATTTGTCAAAGCACGTAGCTCTTTTCCAAGCCGTGTTTGGTATATTGAATTGAGGATGAGTTGGTTTATAAAAAAAGCATGTTTGGTTAAAGCATAATAGGTGCTTTAGTTTAACTAAACGTCTTCATAGTTGACCTGGCTCAATTTTAAAGCCTCGTCTAGTGTGATGATGACACTTATGGGTCGACTTGGATAGATCTATTAATTTAAAGAGAAATGGACCAACATTATTAAATTTATATACTACATTAATGTGTAGTTCTTGTAGAAAAATTAATCACTCCTCGCGAGTTGAGAATTCCTCGATTGTAGCGGTCGACAAGGAAGGTTGGGACAGAGAATTTTTCTCTTTTTAATAAGAATAATTGTGTTTTACCCTTTCGGTTAAGGATAATAAGAATTGGTCATACGCAGAGCATGTCATACTAAGATTTAACAAAATTTTGAACTTGTCACTATTTGAAGCCTCAATTCACGTTCATATTTCCAAAATATGACAGCTGTTTCAGCAGAAAAAGCAGAGACCATAACATGAAGAAGAAGGGTTGTCATGGTCATCAGAGTCAGAAATTGGGAAGCTTTAGATTTCTTGGACTCGAGGGAGGATACAGAAGTGGTATAATGGATGGTTCATTCACTCTGTTACACACCTGGAGGCTTAATGCCCATGGCAGGCTTCACTCTCGCCCCAACACCTCTTCCCTCCAACTCATCTACAATAAGTACCAGATGTTTGTCGATCATATCCGAGCCTCACCTATTTAGTTATAATTGATTGGATGAATTTACCATTTTGATTTAAGAATTTGGAAGGAATGTGGAGAAAAGGATTGAATCTTTTTAAAAACATTGAAGGTGTTTGATACGTGTGTTATCTGGTTTTGTGGAATGAATTACGTAGACACTGAGAACTATAATGAATGTTGGAAGCATGAAGCAGATGTTAGACGGATTTTCTGATTGTTGGAGAGAAAAATATTAATCTTTTTGTTTTCAGAATTTTACTGGTGTTTGATATTTACCTGCTTCTGTAATCTGTATGGTGGATTGTATGGGAACTTGAGAATTATAATGGATTTTGGGGTGTGATGAACAAACTACAAGGTTTGCAGAATCTTTGACTAAAGTGGAAGTATTTTGAAATTTATTGGTTATTTAGAATTTTATGAAATGGGAATCCCTTCAGTACAGTTTGCCATTTTATTTTATTTTATATGCAGACTGCAGAATCACTCACAAATTTTGATAAAAATGAAAAATGTTGCTTGATGTTGGAAAGTAGGGATGCTTAAGACTTGTTCGTGCCCAGTATATAATCTGATTTTGGGTTTCTGGAGTCATGATAACTGATACGAGTGACAGAATATATTATCAGGCAGAAGCGAAGTTTGAAACTGAACTTTATAATCCGTGACTTCAAAACAACAATGTGGTTAAAACGGAGTGGAGTAAGCTATATAATACGTGAAGGTGGAGTAGAGCATTGGCGTACTTTATGGTTTCCATCAGTTTGCTATGGTCATGTGTAAGCTTAAAGCATCTATGTTTGTGTTACTCCAATCGATGTAAGTTAACAATGAGGTTACATTTTGAAAATCTTTTTGCCTACAGTCAATATATTTGTATTAATTGTTTGTAAAATGTTGAGTTTGACTTGTGCTCTTAGGCCTTTGGGTTTGACTTGTGCTCTTAGGCCTTCGGGTTTGTAGGAGCAGGAAGGAAGATTTAATGTTGGCATGTCTAACTCTATGACTACTTCAATTCGTGAAAGTGTTCGTGACATGACAATCGATAAGACCAGAATGACTAAGAAAGAAGTTTGATCTTAGATTAATCTTACAATTGTTTCCATTTTCGATGAGCAACCTTAATTATCCGGCCAATATTACATCTAACCTCTATATCGCTCATCCGACCTCCACCATCTACCTCACTAAAAAAATTAATTTGGTCCATGAACTTTCAAATTGGAGCAAGTCAGCCCTTACTAGTACCCTCTAAGGTTTACTGTGGCCGCTTCTATAATTATGTCAATATCATAATCATGATCAAGTCAATTTAATTTTCAAACTCAATTTGGTTTCTATAATACTGTATTAAGTTTGAGGGGACGTTGAAGATCTGAAAAAGTTATAAGGTTATCATTTCATGATAGTTTTTCCAATATTGTGGGATTATTTTCTAAATTGATTGTGCGATTATCCCACATTCTTTCGCCCTATAAATAGGGTCTTCTATTTTATATCACACGAGTTTATTATATAAAATTTATAATATTGTTCTAACACTTCAAACAATCTTATTGTTTCCTTCTGTTGTCTTTGTCACACAATAATGGCAATGCGAACGCTATATGAGAAATGTAAACTGATGCATGGAGACCTAAGAGAGAACAACATTATTTTGAGGTGAGAATTCATTTTCTCTGGTTTGAACTATTATATTTTTTATGGTGAACAAACTCTAATAATTTCAGCCATGCAGGGTCACTTGTACATTATCTTTGTTTCACAAGCAGTCAATCTTGATCATCCTCACGCCCATGATTTCTTTTGAGAGGATTATGACCATGTTTCAGTGAGTTATTCTCTTTCACCCTGTTATACTGTTTCATTGACTTTTTCTCCTCCATCCTCAATTTTTTTTCCTTCTCATGATTGCGAGTTGAATAATTTCATATTAAGGAAGAGGGATTTCCGTGTTTCCTTAATGCAGGATTTCTTTAGAAAACAGTGTAGCTATCACGAAAATAAGGGAATTGTTCGATTTTATAGTGGATCTTATATTGAAAGACGATTCAGTGGAAAGTTATCTGGAAGAGGTGTTGTCATGTGCACAAATGTTGTGTCTTTAAGTTACTGGAAAGATCGCAGTAACAAAATTGGCTAGAGGTGATTTGATATCTGCAGAGGACTTGCACTCCTTATTTGTGCAAGTTTTTAATGGCAAATCTTTTTGTACGCCAATCCTTTCAAACCTTGACTTAATTCTACTAGGTTCGTGTAAATGGAATTTTAAGCATTGGCATCTTAATACCATAATATTACATGTTTTTAGATGACTTTTGTTTTATTAAGTCCACATTCTATTTCAACTGATCAAAGTCAGAACTGTAAGATTCTAGTTAATGTGAATCCTGAATCTCTAATGTGTTACATTTTTTTTCCCCTTTTTGTGTTCAGTAGTCATTCATTTCGAAGACACCAGATCACATGAAGAATGCCCAGGAGGATGTGCAATGTATCATCAGTGGGAAGGACACCGATGGCATGTATTATCAGACCATTACGGGGTCTCAAACGGGCTCTTTCCGTGGCCGACTCTGCCCAAGTAGAAAATGAGAAGATTCAGTCAAACGGAAATCCAGAAAAAGAGGTCCCTGATGTGACAGCGAGCACCCTAACTTACTAGGTCGATAATCGGAGTATGGAACTGAGGAAAGTGAAGACTCGATTCATATTCGGACAAGGGTTGTCTTCTCAAAGCAATAAGCAGGTGGCTGTTGACAGAAAAACTGCTCAGAAAGAGAACAAGAAGAAAAGAGGCAAAGGCTTGAAAGAATAAGGGTATATTCTCTTTGTGTTTCAATTTTGTGTTTTGAGTTTTGAATTCATTTTGAGTGTCCATTTTGAAATTGTTGAAAATGTGTTCTTTTTGTCATTTTGAAAAATTGTTTTCAAAAATAAAAAAAAAATGGAAAACTCATTTACTTTCCCCTCACCTCTCTTTCTCTCGGTGGTGAAAAATAGAAAATGATTTGAAAACGATAAAGAGAACATACCAGTTCCAAAGTATGTGAAAGAAAAAGAAAAAGAAAAAGTTGGCGAAAGCCAAGTACAGGTATATTGCTAGCCACATGCAGTGGTTCCTCCTTGGCGATAGGAGGCTAGCCCATCGACAAGTTTGGCGGTTCGATAAGGTCCCACATAGGCTCCCAAATTATATGCTGCCGTTGGATGATACAGTATAGCTGATCCTAGTTTTTAGGATTAGCACTCACTCCTGACCCTTGTTCCAATTTTCAAAGCCATTGAGCTTTAGAACAAGATCTCAATTTAGTAGTTAGCCACAGAACGGCAGGTGGGCCGTACATGAATTTAATTTGTCAAACTAAAGATCCATTGGGTAGACCTTACTTCTTGATTAAACGACACTTGTATGGTTACCATTTTGTCTTGGAATACAAAAAACAAAAAATCTACAATTTAAAACTGTTTTTCATATGATTTTCTGCTGATATTTGATTGAGTTATGTTGTCATCCACGCAGAACTCGCTAAATTCCAGTGTATATTCCCTTTTTTAAGAAAAATAAATATTTTAATCTGCCATCCCTTGCGTGTCGGCACAGTTAAGGATGGGTGGCTGCAGGTTCGGACTTCCGTTATTTTTTTTTTCAAAAGGAAAATCTTATTTTGACCGTGTTTTAAACATATAATTCTTTATTTGCTAAATTATTATAGTCGATGATAATATCATAGTCACATAAATATCATTAGTGCAAAACATATGATAATAAATAAAAAATTAGATTTGTTTTGAAGTTCACAATAAAGAATAATATGTTGCATAAGAGGGCCTATATTTGGTACTCGACTTGGATCAAACAATGGACAAAAATTTAGCTTTTTGAACATTGTATAAAACTGCACATTGGCATGCAATAATTAGCAGAACTTAATAGTACGATTTTCCTTCCTTGATATTGTCGAGTGCGTACCAAACAAGCCATGAAAATATACACATGCTTCCACTTCAAACTTCTTGTCAAGTATTGTACTTTTCACCTAAAAAGTCGTACTGAAGAGGATTTTTCTCTACTCTTCAGGTTTGTTTCTCCTGGATTGAAAACAGGGCAAGCAGCTGCTTAAGAAACCATTTCTTTTCCTGCATTAGAACACAATATAAGTTAACAAATCTTGACTTGATAATGATTTTGCCAATAATTTCTGAATTCTACAAGTAATTCCAGTTCAGTGAAAGTGCGAAAATATGAGATGTTATGGCAAAAACTTGTTGATTTTATGAATAATCAATGAATTTTTTATTACCGAACTCCAGGGTATTTCGTAGAATGTACAGGTTTTTGGCATGATGGTTCATATCAATTTTTAAAGTACTCTCACAGTCACAAGTCACAAGGGGAAAATCTACTGGTGGTACAGGGCAAATGGAATTTCTGTTTTGCTGAAAATCTTGTTCTTGTTTAATTGTTATCTGGAAACTTCACTGCTGCTTCTATGGACAAATAGATTTTCTTGCATACTGGGATTGAGATTTCTTATTCTGATTAGTCTGCAAATTGAATTCTAAAGCAGTCACTTTACCAGATTCATCCAAAATTCACATAAAGCTCTACAATTCCCTTAATAATATAATTTATGATCCCGTATACTAAATGTGCCCTCAAATAAAAAAATTCTGTTGCTTTGAACTCAAAATTCAATCAATCTCTCTGCTGAATAACTGCATAGATGTGATTGATTTTCTTCCTACATATAATCTTTGCTTGGTAAATATTGAAATTTTTAGTGTTTATAAACTCAAAATCTTGAACTATTTTCGTTTGAATTCATGTAAATTTAAATTCTATGGGTATGAATAACTCCCAAAGATGGTGAGAACATGAAATTCAAAATACCTGCTGCTGTCTTTGCGTACACTGCCGCTCCCGCAGCCTGTGCTGCCACTGCTGCCGGTTTTACTTCTGCTGCTATCACTGTCGCTTGAACCGGAAAATCGTTTCATCCACCAGTCCTTATCAAACGATCCCTCAGGTTTAGGCGAAACTTTGCCGCTATAACTCTTAACAACACTCCTTTTCTTCTTCGATTTCCAAAAAGTAGGAAATCCCATTTTGAGAAACAATCCCCTGTTGTCAAAACTCCCGTTTCTAATCATCTTTTCATTTTTCTTTGACCTCTGATGTAAACCCCGAATCCCATGATTTTTCTCTTTATTCAATCTTTCTGCTTGATCCTGATCTTGATTTTGAGTTTCTATTCTATGATGTTCAACAAGATCCTTCAAGGAGAGTTCATAAGAAGATTCAGGCATACTCTTCACCATTTCCATAAGTTCCCACTGCCCTCTAGCAATAGCTTGTGCTCTTGAATTTGGGGAATATACCCTGTAATTCTGTTGGTGGAGGAGGGGGTGTGAAGGACTTTTTGGTGAGCTGGGACCATTTTTCCATAGAGGTGGTGAAAAAACACCAGAATCATCTTCTTCCGTAACTTGATTATGTCTAAATTGAACTCCCTGGTTATTCAAATTCCTATGATTCTCATAGTCTTGCGCTAAGTTTCTACCAAAATCAGCAGCACCCCAATTGCCATAACTTTCATTTCTGTAATCAACTGTGTGAGAAAATTCATTTCTTGGATTATGCATGACTTTCCTGAGGAGGGTTTGAGTGGAGAAGATGAACAAATGGGTGAGGGTGGGTTGGGGGTAGGGGTTGTTGTGTGGTGAGGATGTTATCAATGCCTCCATTGTCGCTTTCCTTTTAATAACAGCAAAGTATTATGCTGTATTGGCTTGTGAAAAAAGTCAAGGAACTTCTAGATGTGGTGGGCGCATAGGGAAATATTTTTATCCCTATTTTTCTCATTTTTGTCCCCGTGTGTACATTTTTCTCTAAAAATTGCTACAATAGTACAAGTAGGGGGCAAATATATGATAAATAGATACATAACGTCGACTGTTACTAACGACTAAGGGTGTGTTTGAAAACATTCATTTGAAAGAATATATTATTGAATCGTAGATTGATGGAGAATATGTGGTTAAAAATGAAGGAAAAGTTATTGATATGATGGAAAATATTATTAAATTGAAGAATGTGTGGTTGAAAATGAATAGAAGAATGAGAATAAAAAAAATAATGTGTACCAAACATGGGCTAAAAATGAGACCATGACGAAGGGATTTGTAATTAAGCCTCCGTTTGTTTCTCATTTTTCATTCATAAAAATGAAAAATATGACCGTTATCCATCATATCAAGCCATCAATTTTGAATTTCTATCTTTTGTGTGGGAGGACCCAATAACGATTATATTTTTTATTCTCATTCTACAATAATGAAAATCAAACGGCCCTAAGAATCAACCAGATGCTCGAAAGTGTCAAATTAGGGATATTTTTATCGTAATGAATTTGGTAGTCTTTAATGCTATTCATTAATATACTACTGTATTAGCATAGCAACTAAAAATTTCCGATTTGATGAGGATTAAAATTAAATTTTTAATAAATTATTGATAAAAGTTAATGAAATATATGATTAAAAAGTTGTGGATTTCATGAAATATGTGTTTAAAATTAATTGTTGACTTTGACTCTAACTCCTTCAAATTTCTAAATATTTATTGTGATTGTTATTTAATGTTGACTTTTGATTATTTAATTAATTGTTGAATCGACAAATTAGCAAAGATAATAATGTGGGTATCCTTGTAAATTAAATGAAATCAACAACTTACTAACCTAATTTATATTTGGTGGAGATGATTTGATATACGTGGATAATATTAAAGAAAAAAAAGTTAATTTTTTTTTTATATAATGACATTCAGTACTACGTATCAAAAATGTCCCAAGTGCTTGATGCAGAAAATATTTCTAGAACAATGTAAATATAAGTTGAAAAGTTTTCCTTTCGAAAGAAGAAAAAAAGGGGAGAGAGAGAGACAGAGTAGAAAATTATGCTTATTGAATTTTAAAGGCCATAGCCAATGTGAGAAATGATATAAAGGGTCTAGTATCAATAAGAATAATGTTATTTATCATTATGATAATAAAATATCGGTGATATAACGTCTATGTTGAATAATGAGATTGAGTAGTTCAATTTTTATGAGTGTTGAGAGAGAGAAATGTGGGAGATAATAAGTTGTCACATTATCGATATTTCATCATCATAATGATAAATAACATTATTTTATCAATAATTAGGATTAATAAAGACCATTTTTTACCTAATTTACCAAAAATCATGAAAAAAAAAAGATATTTTTAATTTTTTTTCCTAATATATAAACTTAATAAATTAATAAATTCCTCAAGATTTTATTTTCTTTACTCAAAAATTAGAAAAAGAGACAAAAAAGAAAAAGGAAAAAAGGAGAGCGGCTTGAAATGATAATACAGCATATTATATCTCATGATTATAATGATGAAGTGCATTATCGTGCTTTTTAATTATTGCCGAGAAGATAAATTTATTTATGTTTAACATTGCCAAGATTTGTATATATTCTAGCATTATGCTTTACACATTAAAAATTTCAATCAACATGTTCTCAAATAATGACAATAATTTTGCAAAACTCAAATAAAAAAGAAAAAGAACGACACCCTTCTTCAACTTCGTTAATCGTCCTTTTGTCATCTACTTCTAATCATCTAATTCTCTTCGTGTCATTTTTAAGAAAAGTGAGACATATTTTATTATTTTTTATTTTATAATTAGAGAACATGTGTTTAATTGTTTCTCAACTGAAATGTCTCGTTCAAAAATCAATTTGTCCATGAAGAATCACAAAATAGAAAATATAAAACCTAAATCCCATTAGAACATTGTTGAGAATCTAAGAGCATGTTTGGTAAAGTTTAAAATCAAATTAAAACTTAAAATATAACCGTTATGGTCACACTCGTCTAATAAAAGTCGACAATAATGACTAATTTTTTAATTTTAATACGATTTTAATCTCTACCGAACACACCCTAAATAACTTTATAAAAATATCTTTCAGACTTTAAGTTTTCCAACGACATGCGCTTGTCATTTTTAAAAATTAAGAAATTGATAGATTTTTTGTAGAATAAGAATGTAATCTTGTTTGATGGGAAGGAAAAGGGGGAACTAATTGTGACATTATGAATTTGAAAATGGTGGCTTGACAACTTCTTAACGTGTTCAAATTCCCAAGCTCTTTGAATTTCTTCCTTTGGGTTTAGTATTTTATTGTCATTAATAAGAAAACTTACACAATTTCTCTTCAATTTATGATAAAATAACAAGTTAGTCATTAATCTATAAAAAGAAAAAGACAAGTCTATAATCTTTCAGTATAGTTACACAATAAGTTTGTAATGACATAATTGTCTAAATTTTTGTTACGTGATCATGTGACTCTATTGAAATATGTCTCACTTCAAATTTCTCAACAGCTCTACAAGTTGGAAAGCTCGTGTCACATAATGATATAATGAATATCTTTTTTCATCATTGTGATTGTCCAACAATATTGAAAATTTGGTGATCAATTTATTTGTTTTTAAAAGTTGAGAAACTGAAAACGTAATTTTTCTTATTTAGTAAAACTCTTAGCAGGGCTTTTTAGTATCAATTCTGCCCCCTTTTGGCCCTTATTAATAATACATTTTTTTCTCTTCTTTTCAACTACATATTTTCCAATAATAAAAAAAAAAATCAATCTTTTTCAACCATTCAATCTTAAATAATGGGCGCCAAATGAGGGCTCAATTTTAAATTGAGTTTTACTTAATTTTTCATAGTCGGATGTCTTAACGTCCATGCTATCTGTCATTAGTTAAAAAAAAAATTAAAAAAAAAATCCTCTTTATTTACATTTTAATCTTCAATTTCGTTGAATTAAACTTAGATAAGAAATTCTCATAGAAAAAAATAAAAATAAAAGTTGTGCCTTTTTCTTAGCTACAATTTCCAATTTTTCGAGATGAAAAAATTATGACAAACTGAACAAAAGTCTATGCAGAATGCAACAAGAGTCTCGATCGCAATCTGGTAGAATTGGCATAGTCAACCCTTGGACCCAACTCTCGAGTCTTGATTACATACGTACACACGTGTGTTGTTAATTAATTATTATTTCTTGAACAGCTAATCTATCTAGAAAATGAAAAACAGCCAACTATCTAGAAATCTTCCTTAGTTAATTAATGGGATTTTATTATATTCATATGGTCAATATATTATGGGCTTGTTTCAGCAGAACATTGAATTTTGTTAGAATCATTAGTTGAAATAATAAAATAATTATGTCGATACATTCGTTCATTAATCGTTCTAGAATGAATGAGCTGGATTTACTGTTGTAGCCTAGATTTTTCAATAAATTTATTATCCTATCTAGTTAATAAAAATTAACGAGAAATTATACATCCATGTTTAGTAAGGTATATGGTTTCGAAGATCATTTTATTGTTCTTGATAAATTAAGATTAAATTACTATTCATATTACGAATATTATCAATTCACTGACCAAATTCAGGTAACTCAATTATTTTTAGTTCAAAATGTAAATCTTTACATTGTGTCAGACCGCAATTCGAAAGGGAAAAATAATTATCATGACTCAACACCATGATACGAAACCAATTCCTCTACCACTGAAGTCGCCGCCATAGCCACCACCTTTACTAGTGACATCATCGTAGCCGTCACCTTGCCACCAAAGTCTCCTCCACCACTTCTGTCGGCTCTTTATTTTCAGCCACATGACCGTTCCCTTAGCCCAAATTTATATTCTTCATGTGCATTATCATCCCTTATCTTCATGAATATTTCATCTCAGATCTCTCTCCAACTAACAAACACAAATTATCCTTCTTGACGTCTTCTAGTTGGATATAATTTGTTAGGCTTCATTGCTGAATCACGTCCATGTCCTCCAGCCACAATCAAAATATAATGGTGCAACCATTTCAAATCCTGACTTTGCATTCTGGATACATTAGGATCAACTTTTACTAAATGCAATGATTGATTCTCCTTCCTCACCATGATCCCATTCATCACATTTTCCAGGACTTCTCAGGAAAGCCTGGAACACTCGGCATCCATGCTTGTGAAACACCTATTTCCTTTGATGAGCTTCATGAAAAACTCTTTAGTTTTGAAGCTCGTATTCATCATCTTGAGTCCTAGCGTATATTAACTTCTTGTATTATTAGTTATAGTAATTTATTCTGCACAATCTTACATGTAACAAGAGTGCTCTTACTTTGAAATTTATACTATTGAGACTTTTTATATGTAACGTTATAAATATTGCCAGTATATAAAGCAAATTCAGGTTGTTCAATTACTTCTAGCTCCACGTGTAAATATTTACACTACAGTTCAAATCTCATTGCTAGATTCACTATCCATGTATTAAAGTTGTGTATGTTTTAGATCTTTGGTGAAAACGAACAATCACGCCTAGCCCCCTCCGAAGTTTGTACCATTTTATTTTCATTATTTATTAATAAAAGACGCCATCATGAGCAGTTTAAAGAAAATTTAAATATGCAAGTTTGTCTCTTCTGTAGCAACGCAAAGTCATCCATGTATTTTGCTTGATCGGAGGTACACAGAATACACCTCCCTTGTGGCACCATACCATGATGAGAACCTGTAGCATAAATAATACCACTTCTTCTTTGGTTTTGATAGAAAAACCAGCTTACTGCAGTTCATGGCTCATAGGGAAACAAAATAGCACACAACTACATAAAGACTATAGAAGGTTTTCGTCGAACACAAAAGAGTGCATTGTTTGAAGACTAAAAAGAAACCATCTTCTAAAAAATCAGCTTTGTTAATTTCTAATTCAAATCTTCCATGTAACCCTTGGATGATAGCAACTGCTTTATTATTCCTTATTGATTCAAATATTCATCTTTCCATTGATGATTCTCCACCGATCTCAATGCATCAAGCTCCATTGCAACCTCCTTCATACTAGGCCTCTCTTCTCGTTGTGATCTGAGGCAACATTCAGGAAGTTTTGCAACTCGTTTCACCTGCTCAATTAGGTCCTCTCTTATCAAATTCTTTTCAAGAATTTGTACTAACCTATCATCTCGAATTGCATTAAGAAAGTATAATGGAAGAATTCTATTTTCTTCTGGTCTGTCACGAGAAAATGCCGTCTGGGTGGTTAATAATTCAGCTAGAACAACTCCAAAGCTATAAACATCGCTTTTCTCAGTCACTTGGCCAAAATGAAGATAGTCAGGATCCAAATATCCTATTGTTCCTTGCACCAATGTAGTGAGCACAGAATCATCAAGTGTGTCAAATCTGTTGAGAAAAAACACCACACAATAGTCAGGATCCAAATATCCTATTGTTACTTGCACCAATGTAGTGAGCACAGAATCATCAAGTGTGTCAAAATCTGTTGAGAAAAAACACCACACAATAAGAAGTGCAACAAAGAACAAAAGCGTATATAAGAGAAAAAAATACTAATGTACACGGTTGGACAAAATCGCCAATAAGATAAGGGCAATGTCCAGTTTCTGTTTACCACTTTTTCTCTTTTTTTCTTTTTAGTTATTTTTATAAAAAACAATTTGAATATTAAGTTAAATATCAATAGTCAAACCTGGAGGCTCCAAAATCAGACACTTTTGCAGTATAAGTTTGGTCGAGCAATATGTTCGCACTCTTTATATCTCCGAGTATAATTGGAACCATATGCAAATATGCAAGTGCCACAGCAGTTTCTGCTGCTACTTTCATCCTCATTTCCTGTTGGGAAAAATCGCTTTGAACGCAGGAATTGAGATTAATGACAAATTGAAATTATAAAGATCACAAGAAAAAGAACAAGATTAAAGTAAAGAAAATAGAGGAGAAA